TGATGGCTTGGATAGCGAGGAAGATATCGCTGTTCCTTACCGGGTTGGTTTCTGAGAGAATTTCCGAGGCCTGTCGAGTAGCTTCCTCTATTCCGCCGCGAGCTGCAAAGAAGTCGTTTGAGTATGACTCGGCACTGGCACGGGCGAGTTTGGTGGCTACCATGGTGCCTTTGATGGCGGAGATGGAACGACCACCGCCTGGCGAAGAGTACCGCCACCAGGGGCCGTCATTCCAGCCTGCCGCGTTGTATTGACTAGTGCCAGAGCTCTCTCCACGCTTTGGGGCGGCTTCTTGACCACGTTGAACGACTAGGAGATCGCCTCCTTCGACCTGGGCCATGACGCGGGAGAAGACATTGTATATGAGCGGGTCTAGTGCAGGATAGCCCTGGAGGTCATGAGTGATATGAATTTGGAGACGTTCGTGAGACGAGATCGGAGGTGCTAGGGTGTGAATGAGCGATGTGACCGTTGGAAGAGCGAGAGTTCGTAGTTCTCCCCCTATTTTATCAAGTTAGCTATAGATTCGGTTGAGAACTTTTTGAAGGTGTAGATATCTTACCAAGCCCCTTGAGAGCGCCGACATTACCACGAACTTGCTCAGCCCACTTCTGAGCATCTTCGTTATTCCGGATCTCGTGAACGGCTGCCTCAGCTTGCTTGACTGCTGCACTGGCGGTAGCAAATATACCACCCCACCATCCACCTCCGCTGCTCTGCGGTGCTGCTGGACTAGGTGGTGTATTCTGAGCCTCGGTCGACGGCGTGATGCTCCTGTGGTATGCTCTCGTGCTATCCCCCGACTTCCTCGTCTGTATCTTCTCTTCACTCGACCTATCGGTAGTCGGTGTAGCTGCCGCAGCCGGTTTAGGCGATTTCGTTGACGCAGGCGAGATCTGGGGGGTTGCAGGGCGGCTCGACGGCCTCTGAAGAATCAAATCCTGAAAATCGCCTAGTACGTCATCATCCACGGCTCCCTGCTGGCCTGACTGTGCTGGTTTGGAACTGACGGTGTCAACATCCAGGTCATTGATTTGGGCCAGCAGTTCGTCGGTAGTAGGGGTATGTTTGCCGTCGTTGGTGGTCATGGTGACTCGTTCCGCCGACGACGGTGGCAGCTCTTCACTTCATGTATAGAATAGCAGCTGCGCGGTCGTTTGTATCAGTGCCAGCTGCCGGAGCTGTCAAGTATATGCAGGTTGTTTGCCGGTGGTTGCTCAAGCTCGAAGTTGCTGGTTACGTTCACCATTCTTGGCACTGCTCAGGCCTAACAACGCTGCAAAGCGACAACCAGCACATCAACTGGTAAAAAGAATGCCAAAGGGTGTAGATTTTAATTTTATTATCATTTTTCTTTTATCCCCTTCATTATTATATAAAAGAAAGAAGAATGAAAAAAAAAGGGCCAAAAAAAGCGACACCGCAGGGATTCGAACCCTGGCTCCCGAAGGAATTGCATGGCTATGTATACAGATATATACATATTATATAACAGTAGCAGTGCAACGTATTAACCACTCTACCACAGTGCCTCGGTGTGATGATTGTGGGACTCCATCTGCTTTCCATAACCTCCTTCCCTTCTCCGCACCGCCACAACTGCTAGCTCCAAGCAACCATATATCAAAATGCTTCAATTACTGTACTCAATACTGGATAGACTGTGCAACATTTGGATAAATTATCTACAATGAATACTAACTGAGGCCACCATGAGTCGCGAAGAGAGCCCCAAACGTCGGAAGATCGACTCCGATCGATTCACGCCGCCCTCGCCAAAGAGCTATACCGGTCCCGGGCCCAGGCATATCTTCAAGCGACGCGATAGACTCCCCGGCAGAGACGACGACGGCCAGACAGGGCCCAGCAGAGACCGCAATGGCGCATCGACGCCTACCCAACACGCATTCGACGGCCCTGAAGCATTCGTGAACGATGATGATGCCATGGCGCTGGACCGCGACTGGTACATGGGCGATGAATCAGGTCACACGTTTGGAGACGAGACGCATAATCCGTTTGGTGGGCCGGAAAGCGCGTGGGCAGACCAGATCCGCGAGGCAGCATTGTCAGAGAAGAAGAATAGCCGACGCTTCAATGCTCGTGCTGTGCAGAAGCAAAAGGACGTGGATGCATGGGAGACGAATCGAATGCTGACCTCCGGCGTTGCTCAGAGGAGGGACTACGATGCTGATTTTGAAGACGATGACGACTCGACAAGAGTCCATTTACTGGTCCACGATCTTCGTCCTCCTTTTCTGGACGGCCGTACGGTCTTCACGAAGCAACTCGAGCCCGTTCCAGCCGTACGAGATCCTCAGAGCGATATGGCGGTGTTTAGTCGGAAAGGAAGCAAGGTTGTTCAGGAAAGAAGACAGCGGAAAGAGCGTCAGAAGCAAGCTCAGGATGCGACGAATGCGGCGGGGACTACGCTGGGGAACATTATGGGTGTCAAGGAAGACGAGGGCGATAGTGCTGCTGCAATTCCGGGAGAGGAAGACCAAAAGGCCGGTAGTAGCAGCAAGTTCGCTTCTCACCTGAAGAAATCAGAGGGTTCTAGTGCTTTTAGTAAGAGCAAGTCTCTACGGGAGCAGAGGGAATACCTCCCTGCGTTCGCTGTCAGAGAGGAGCTACTTCGAGTGATCAGGGATAACCAGGTCGTTATTGTGGTTGGACAGACGGGTTCCGGAAAGACTACTCAGTTGACTCAGTTTCTCCACGAGGATGGGTACGGGGAGCTTGGTCTGATAGGATGCACGCAACCTCGTCGTGTTGCGGCAATGAGTGTCGCCAAACGAGTCAGTGAAGAGATGGAGGTTAAGCTTGGAGGACTTGTGGGCTATGCCATCCGTTTCGAGGATTGCACCAGCAACGAAACGGTCATCAAATGTATGCTCTCCTCCTACTACCATGTGATATAAGATATCCCTTTACTGACTGTTTCTCCCAGATATGACTGACGGAGTGCTACTGCGAGAGTCCTTGGTACAGCCTGACCTCGACAAATACTCTTGTATCATCATGGACGAGGCCCACGAGAGGGCGCTTAACACAGATGTCTTGATGGGCTTGATCAAGAAAGTCCTTGCCAGGAGAAGAGACCTAAAGCTCATCGTGACTTCTGCAACCATGAACTCTGACCGGTTCTCGAAATTCTACGGAGGAGCACCTGAGTTCATCATTCCCGGACGTACATTCCCGGTGGACATACAATATTCTCGGTCTCCTTGCGAAGACTACGTTGACAGCGCTGTCAAACAGGTGCTTGCCATTCACGTTTCGCAGGGCACAGGAGATATCCTAGTATTCATGACCGGACAGGAAGACATCGAGGCCACCTGTGAGCTGATCCACGAGAGGTTGGCCCTCTTGAATGATCCACCAAAGATAAGTGTGTTGCCGATATACAGTCAGATGCCAGCAGATTTACAAGCAAAAATCTTCGACAGGGCTGCTCCAGGGGTTAGGAAGGTCATTGTCGCTACTAATATCGCCGAGACCAGTTTGACGGTTGATGGAATTATGTATGTGGTCGATGCTGGATTTTCCAAGTTAAAGGTGTATAACCCGCGGATGGGGATGGATACACTTCAAATCACACCCATCTCTCAGGCAAATGCATCCCAAAGAGCTGGGCGAGCTGGTCGAACCGGACCTGGAAAGGCATATCACCTGTATACCGAACTTGCATTCAAGGATGAGTTTTACATACAAACTATCCCGGAAATCCAGCGAACAAATCTCGCCAATACCGTTCTACTACTCAAGTCCTTGGGAGTCAAAGACCTGCTGGACTTCGATTTCATGGATCCTCCCCCGCAAGACACCATCACAACCTCGCTGTTCGACCTATGGGCTCTCGGGGCAATTGATAACTTGGGCGATTTAACTACCATTGGTCGTAGAATGAGCGCATTCCCCATGGACCCATCACTAGCAAAACTTCTAATCACCTCATCGGAACTATACGACTGCAGTGAGGAAATGCTCACTATAGTATCCATGCTCTCTGTACCCAGCGTATTCTACCGTCCCAAGGAGCGACAAGAGGAATCTGATACTGCCCGTGAGAAATTTTTCGTGCCCGAATCAGATCATCTAACGCTCCTTCACGTCTATACCCAATGGAAAGCAAACGGTTATTCGGACGGATGGTGCGTGCGCCACTTCCTTCATCCCAAGGCCCTTCGACGAGCCAAAGAGATTCGTGAACAATTACATGATATTATGAAGATGCAAAAGATGCAGTTGACGAGCTGTGGTACGGATTGGGATATTATCCGAAAGTGTATCTGCTCTGGCTACTATCATCAGGCCGGCCGTGTCAAGGGTATTGGCGAGTACGTTAACCTACGAACGAGCGTGACGGTGCAACTACATCCTACCAGTTCCTTGTACGGCCTTGGCTTCCTACCAGACTATGTCGTATATCATGAATTGATCTTGACAAGTAAAGAATACATGTCTACAGTCACAGCCGTTGATCCTCACGTGAGAAATCCCCTATCAAAAGCTTTCCTTATACTTCCATCCTTTATATACTAACATCTACCCATCCTTAGTGGCTCGCTGATCTAGGAGGTGTCTTCTATTCGATCAAGGAAAAAGGCTATTCCGCGCGCGAACGACGCGTTACAGAACGCGAATTCAATCGAAAAATGGAAATCGAAACACAAATGGCAGCCGATCGTGACAGAGCCGCAGAACTCGCAGCCCGTGAAAAGGAGAAGGAGTCTGTTAGAAGGAGGCAGGAAGTTCAGGCCGCAGTACGAAGACCAAATTCGACACCAGGAGTAAGAAGAACCACTAGTGGGGTGGTCACGAGCGGTAGTGTGGTTAGGAGACCACCGTCGAAGAGAGTCGGAAGGGGGTTTTGAACAGATAGATATATTTTTGGCCTCTGAATAGAAAAGAGAAGCCATGGGGGCTTTCTCTATCAATACGGGTTTTTAGATTCACAGCATTTCGGTCACCCTCTGAAATCACTGCTGCATGAGTATAGATATGCAATCGATGAACGGCTTTCTTATTCCACATTTAGAATAGAATATTGCAGTACTATACATACAGGTCATTACAGGTCCTTTTCATGGGCACCAAAACCAATTCTATTCTTGAATCACTAGGAAATGGCGCTCATATCAGAACAGTAATAAGCAACGAAGATCTTAACTGTTTAATGTTTATTTTCTTCGCTCAGTTGATGAAGTTAATGCAGAAAAAGTGCAATATAACGCTTCCAAATATATAATCCGCAAACGCCCTGTATTCTACTCGTTAGCACATATGTCGCCTCGCTACACCTCCGTGTCCAATATAAAGTCCGTTGGGGAAATGTAGATACGAACCTCTCACTAGAACCCTCTCCCCGGTCCTGGATCGGTGTCTCTGCCCCGCTGGCAGTACCGGATTTTGCAGGCGTTACGCCCT